CTAACATTATAAATGTGAAAGTGTGTTTGTTTGTTTGTTTATTTGTTTGTTTGTTTGTCCTTCTTTCACGTCGAGACGGAGAAATTATCTAGGTAATTCCCATGTGAAAATACGTTATAATACAATCAAAAAAATATATATATGATCAGAATTACCTGAAATTTGGCACTAATGCTCTTCAATAAAATTATATAAATACGTGTTTTAGCATTTTTCAAAATTCATTCTGTAAGGGGGTAAAATAGGAGATGAAAGTTTGTATGAAACTACCTTTTTAGATATTTCTTTGTAGTTTTATCGCAAGCAACGCCGCGGGTTCTGCTAGTATGTTAAATAAAATGCAAAATAACTTTCAAACTTGGTAAAAATATTATTAAAAAAAACTTATAATTATCCTACTCCCCATACTCTATAGGTTTCACTTCTACCGTGTGTGAATTGCACACATTTTTTTTTGACTAATCTATACTGAAAATGAGTCCACATTGGACTGAACACATGTAAAAAATATTTCTGTATCGTGTTAGGGTCACGTTCAGAAATTAGGATAAGTGCTGTTTAATATAATCAATTCTGCGAGTATTTTTTAATAATACGCTTTTAATGCCTTCATCTGTAACTATAGTTAGTAGCTGCCTCAGTGGTCTAGTGGCTAGCATATACAGCCGCAGGTTCTGAGGTCTTGAGTTCGAGTCCAGGGTCGTGCTAAGCATAGTTATTGAGTATTTTCTATTAAGAAATCCTCAGTAACAGCCCCGGAGTTGGGAAGTTGGCGGTGTTTCACCCCCGTGCCTCGGAGAGCACGCAAAGCCGTCGGTCCTGCGCCTTAACTAACTCTCACCGGTCGTGCCTCGTGTACTTACCACCGCAGAATGAGAGTGAATGCAGGAACAGACAGTGCACGTTGTGTATATAATATCTCACACTTGGGAGTCGTAAGCACAACGCTTGCAACATTTTTTTCTAGCACACGTGGGAAAATCTACGCTATCTTACACCGAGTTAGGCACACAAAGCCAACTTATTTCGTCGCGTTTGCTTACAACGGCTCCGTCTATACTTTTTTTATTGGTCTGAGTACTCCGCAAGTGTTGTTTAAATTTATTAAATCCGACATACGTAATATACCTACATAGTATGTTTATAATTCAGATAGAATTATATAATTCTGTATACAACACAATTCTATATATATCTTGATATAATAATAATTATTATTATTATTATTATTATATATATATATACATTCAAAACTATATATATATATATATATATATATATATATATATATATATATACATATATATATATAGTTTTGAAACTTTGTGTTGAACTTTCGAGCTGAGATGATAGAACTAGGAGGACATCTCTCTTATCGCTAACAGTAAAACATTCGCGTTTGAGCTCCTTTAACTCATTCAAACGATTCCCATATATAATACATTACATTTATAGTGCAAATGCAAAAGTATACCTATAATTATATTTAGAACTAACTAAAATAATATTTTAATTACTAACGATTTAACTTCGCTTCGCTCGGATGCGTCACTAGGTACTATTTAATTTTTTTCAACGGAACCCTAATTCTTTTTCTAAAATAAAAGTAGCCTAAGTTACTCCCTATAACATCAGCTATCTGCCAGTGAAAGTCCCATCAAAATTAGTCCATCGGTTTCGGAGATAAGCCGAAACCAACAAAAAGACAGAAAATTTCAAAAATTCTGTTTCTCTTTATACCGTATATAATTTCACATGCATTTAGTAAAAAGCTGTTATTTTGACATTACACACAGACACTACAATTTTATTTGTCTGTAAAGATTTACGTATAAACATATATTAATATCACCGAATAGATCAATATGTGACACTAATATTTTGACTCGAACCCGACTTTTTTTCGCGATCGAAAACGTAGATCTGTATTAGTATCGCATAAAACTAAATTAACTCATCTAGTTACTATTTCGGTTTCCTTTGAGAGCTACTTTCATGCAAATTATAATATTTGATTAATCAAATATTTGCCATAGATACAGGTATTAAAAAAAAACAAGTCCTATAAAATTCAGGATACCATAAATTAAAGATGGATAGATAAAAAACACATCATTAAGTGGACAATTACGAGTATATTGATTATCTGTTCAGTTAATGTTAAAGATAAAAATATTTGCAGTATATAAATTAACTTTCACGTTTTCAAATTAATGGTTATATATTTTAAGCTAGCGACACGCTCGGGTTCGTGTCTAGGTACGTTTCAATACTTAGCGTGGAATAGATATAGAATAGAACATAAACAAATCTATCCCACGGACATCGTAAATTTTTCCGGGATAAAAAGAAACCTATGTGCTATTCCAGACTATAATCTATCTGTGTGTCAAATTTCATCCAGATCCGTTCAGCCGTTCTGGTGTGATTGAAACATATCACAATCCACCCAAACTTACGCGTTTATAATATTAATTAATAGAATAAACTATCTTTTCGAATTTTTTCGCGATTTATTTTGTTTTTTTTGTTCCTAACGCTTCTAATGCTTTACAGCGCACACGATCACGGGAGAGAGTAAGGTTTAAGACGTTTCACAGGTCATTATTGATCAAAAGTCAAATCTATACATATAATAAAATTGTAACTAAGTCGAATCTGTACAATAAATATTTTTTGGAAAATATGATTGAAATAGACATTATTATCGATACAGAGTCCGAATCTAGACTTTCTAAAATTTTTGTCTGTCTGTTTGTCTGTTACCGCATCACGAGAAAACCACTGGACAGATTTTAATGAAATTTGGTATGATGATAACTGGTTATCCGGGTCAACATATAGGATACTTTTTACCGCGGGAAAATATCTCATTTCTAAGAAAAAATACAAAAACTGCAATGTAAGAGTATACTAATACGTAAAAACTAAGAGTTTAGTTTTTGGTCATCTGAACGCGGGCGGAGCCGCGGTCAATGCTAGTATTTTCATAAATCTAAGAAAGTATTCGTTATTTATCTTTACATAGTATAAAATGAAGTCGTTTCCACTGTCTGTTCGTTTAGATCTTTTGAACTAATCAACGGATTTTAATGAATTTTTAAGCAATAGATAGTGATTCAAGAGGATGGTTTATATGTATAATACATGCATATTACATATGTGCGGAAAAGCCGAGAAATTCAAAGATATGTATTTCATACTAACCGATAGAACGTACCTAAAGACGAACCCGAGCGAAGCGAGGGTGAGTCGATAGTTTAATTAAATAAGAAGCTAATGAAAATAATATAACAGTTTTTATTTCTATTTTTTTCCAGTTTACTTACTCTATGGAAAGTATTTACCGAACAAGAAAACTAGTCGATGCCATTTTCAAACTTGTAAAACACAAGCATTTCCCGTATTGTTGAAAGAAAAACAAATCGACCGCCAAATTTTCCCATTCATTATATAAGTAAGATATATTGATCAAATATAAGTAAATATATTGATCAATATAGTGATAAATATAAGTAAGATATATTGATCAAAGGCATTTTAAAGGATTTCAATTCCTCAGACTCGGACAATTTAAAAAAAATAATCATATCTCAAAACAGAATATGCATTATAATATGAAAAAAATTATAATGCCTATTTCAATATGTATAATTAATAAATAATTAAGATGAATTAGAAGATTAAATTAAATTATAATTTCTGTTTAAAAAATTTAAAAACAAAGTTTAAAGTGTTTTAAAAGCAAAATTAAATATATCTCTATATAGTCATAAATAAATAATATATTCGATATTCTACTACATTAGGAGTATTTTTTTTTAAAAACATATAGGTAGTTTATTAAAAATACTAAAGCAGAATCTTTGAAACCACTAAGCTGAGAGAAAATTTTCTTTTACTAATAGAAAATTGTGCCGTGTCTGGGTATTCTAATATACTATATATATATATATGTTCTATATAATCTACTATTCTAATATAATATAGAAAACGGAAAATTGTTTAAACCTAACAAATTTAAAATATATTTTGCAAAATAAAAAAAACAAGCTTAAAGGATTTTAAAATGGAGATGAATATTAAGTCTTATATTATCAATAAATAAATATAAAAAAAACATTATAAAGTTAAAAATGAAGATTTCCATTTTATCTTTCTCAGGATCTCACTAGTAGTTATCAATATTATATAATTCCAAGCCATTTATCAACGGTTTTAAAAAGATGTCTGCCAAAATATAAAATAAGTTATAATATATCATACATTATTTTAAAATACAAATAAATAAATAAATGAGGCAAGTGTTATTAGTCTTCATATAAATATGAGAAGAATTTATTTTGCTTATCAATAATTTCAAGAAATATAAATATATAAATAAAAAGAGAAATGACTGAAAAAAATGTAAGTATTTGGAATAAAGGTTAATGTTTTATGCAAAAAAAAATAAGATTAACATTGATGAAGTGAAATTCTCTCACTATCAGATAAAGTTGTCTGATTAAAATGAATGCCTTTTCTTTATAGATAAAAAAAAACATTCTTAGACAAAAAAAAATAATAACTAACCTTTTTGTTTATTTCATCAAAATACACCAAAATAACACTTGCACTATTCTATTTTAATGAATATTTACAGACCAGGAAAACGTTCGCGGTAATCACTGATTTAGAATAAGACTATAAAGTCAGTTAAAGTACTTTATCATCCAGTTTAGAGCCAATCAAAGGTTTAAATATAAAATTTGTACTAATTGAGATAACAAAACAATTACGATAAGTAAACGATTAAAGTTTGGTTTATAATATCGGACGCCCAATTCGCCCGTTCGGTAGACAAATGTAAGCGGCGACAAGGCGATTCGTAATAAAATTATACACGGCATAGCGTCAAATTACTCGTCTCTCGCCTTTAGTTAAAAGGTTAACAGCCAATTGAGTACGGTTTTTTTAATCAGTTAAAAATAAGGATATAATACGTCGGTAGATCGACTTACCGATGCTAGCGGGCCGCATTCCACCTTCTCGAAGTGCGTGGGATAGTATTTTCATCTTGTTCACGTAATACCACACAGCGAAATACTAATATTTTGTATCAAAATGCAAGATATAAAAAATAAGATGACCAGTGTTACATTGAAACTGTCAAAGTTGAACTTCACTCAAGTGGTCGTGCCAAGTACCATAGACAAAATTGAGTTTTATAAATAGACCAGTGCGCGCTACTCGCCCATAGATGGGGCTACAACCATATGAAATCAAATAAGGTTTTATGTGAAAAAAGTATTATTTTGATATTTTAATCGTTTTTTAACATTATAAACGTGATAATTTGTAAATTAATATATATTTTACTTTTTCATGTTTTACGATTTAGTTTATTAATTATGGAATGAAAATAGCTTGCATCCAAAATTAGAGCATCGTCTATTTTTATCGATGTACCTGCCACGCGGAATCGCCAAAAACAAATAGTAACTTAAAAGTATTTTTAAAATGTATCAATGCTAATAATTAATATAGAACGTCTTGATCCGATTCTGATATTGGCTAATTGTTAATTCGATTTTTTATACAGTGGTTTTAAATGGGTTCTGGACATTTTGCTAATATAATAAATACTTTATTAGGTTTATTTTGATTTTTGGTTCCCGACGTTTTGAATGCTTTACAGCAATCATGGTCACGGGAGAAACTTAGATTTTAGATGACTACTGTAACTTTTAAGGTACCTACTTGTTGAATTCATTTTGTTATTTTGTGGGTAACTATATAATTCCTGTGAGATGTCTAAAACCTCTGTCCGGTGACCATGTGCGCTGTAAAGCATTCATTACATATCCGCGATCCGCGAAAAAATCCGAAAAGATAGTTTTATTTAAAATTCTGTTAACTATTTGAAAGATGTATTTAATATTGCGAAAGATTAAGCGAAGCGACGTTGGTGGAGACAAAAAATAAATAATTTTAAAAAATACAAAACACCATTTTCAATTATTTTTCTTTTGTACATGGCAATTTCATTTGAAATAGGTCTGCCAATACAATAATTAAATACCATTAAGGTGTTCTGATGACAGAGTCAAGGCAGTAAGTAGAGTTAAGGATGTGGTATCCCAGTGACGCACTCTCTTGGGATCCGAATGAACCGGGTTCAAATCCCGAGTCCCGCACCTCTGATATCCTCATGTGGGAATCATTTCCAACATGATTACCACATGCCTTACGGTGAAAGAAAACATTGTGGGGAAACCTGCATGTCTTAGAGAACCTAGCAAGTATTTGAAAGACATGTGCAGTCCGCCAACACGCACTTGGCCAGCGTGGTGGACTATGGCTTGATCCCGCTCTTATTGAAGGGAGACCCGTGCCCAGCAGTGGCTGTATGTGTAAAAAACCTTAGAAATTAAAAAACGAACTCATTTAAAAAACTTTTTTTAGTTTTATAAAAGTACTAGTGGCTCGCATCGGTGCGTCCCTTAACATCTTTTATCTATACATATAATAAAATTGTAACTGATATTTTTCGTCCGATTTCAATTAAAGTTAATATAATTTATGAAAGTTAACCCATTTTCAATAAAAAATACATACAAACTTACATTTTACTTTACCTGTTTATAATAAATTAGCGACTCACCTCGCTTTCCTCGGGTTCGTCCCTAGGTTGGTTCCCTATACAAACTTTCATCCCCATTTTCACCCCCTTAAGATATGATTTCCGGGATAACAAGTATCCTATGTCCATCCCAGGGTCTCAAAATATCTTCTTACCAAATTTCATCTAAATCGGTTCAGTAAATCCAGAGATTACCCCCTACAACGTCACAAACTCACAAACTTTACCACTTTATAATATTAGTATAGATAAATAAATATGTTAGGACATTAACACACAACACCATCTAGTTCCATGGTAAGCTACGAGGCCTGTGTTATGGATAGCAGTATACATATTATGTTATAAATATAAACACAAATGACTAGAGTACAAACATTCGTGCTCATCCCACAAATGAAGGTCCCCAGCGGGACTCGAACCCGCGACCGCTGGCACAGCAAACAGGGTAACAACAAACAGAGCCAAACGTGTCGTTAAATAAAATAATAAAAACTAAGCCGATGCAAAAACTAAATCTACATTAAACGAGAGGATGTAAAAACAATCATATGATTTTGTAACTGAAACCTTAATCTGTGGATGACTCGCGAGAAACAACACAATGAACATATACGACCTCCAAATTTCCAAACAAACGCACTATGATACTATCTCACCAAAAACAAAGACCTGATGCAATATATAATACATACAAAAGTAGGTAGGTACGTTTGTTTATTAATTTTATTTTTTACTAGCACTGCCCGCGGCTCCGCCCGCGTTCAGATGACCAAAAACCAAATTCTTAGGTTTTACATATTACTATACTCTTACATTGCAGTTTTTGTATTTTATTTCAGAAATGAGATATTTTTCCGCGGTAAAAAGTGTCCTATATGTTGACCCGGATAACCAGCTATCATCATACCAAATTTCATCAAAATCTGTCCAGTGGTTTTCTCGTGATGCGGTAACAGACAGACAGACAAAAATTCCAAAAACTATAGATTCGGACTGTGTATCGATAATAATGTCTATTTCAATAAGATTTTCCAAAAAATATTTAATGTACAGATTCGGCTTAGTTACAATTTTATTATGTGTATATATAGCGAGTCACCCTCGCTTCGCTCGAGGTCGTCCCTAGATTAATTCCCCATTTTCACTCCCTTAAGGGATGATTTCAGGAATAAAAAGAATCCATTGCTCTTCCCAGGGTCTCTTCCTATCTTCTTACCAAATTTCATTTAAATCGGTTCAGTAGACCCAGAGGTACTACAACAGTACAAACTCACAAACTTTACCTCTCTATAATATTTGTATTATACATAATAGTGGAATTTAATTTAATAATTTCGAAGTGAATAAAGTTAAAATAAGGAGATGCCTCAGGCTAAGGAATAATATAGACTGAGTATCGTAAAACTAAACATGAAGCCGAATAATGTTTTAAAATGTACAATTTACAATTTAATATCAATAAGTACTAATCACTGTGATAATTAAATAAATGTTAATAAATAAAAGCAGCTGAGGGCTTTTATTTAATATTTATTTAATTAATTTAATAATATAGTAGCATAAACAGCAAATTACGCTACTATTTTTGACGTTGACATTTTTCAGGCGGACTCCATCGATATAATTCTTAAGTCTGAGTTAATAAGTTAGCAACCTAATCTTTAAAGCCTTTAAAAAAGAAAATTCATAATATTTCATATATTTCATAATAATTATTTAACTAAGTATTTTTTTTTCCTCAAATCTATATGACATTTTTACTTTAATTTTTGTTTATAAAAAAAAAACAAAATATGGAATAGAAAACAAAAATATTTAAGAAAATTATACAATAATGTTTTTTGGTATTATTTTTTGCACCAAAATATTTATATATTTTTTAGTACCTATTAAAAAATATAGCCGAAAAATTAATATAAATAAATAAATAAAACCTTTCACAGACAAAGCTGAGTTTTTAACTCGTATTTATTATCGTTGAAAGTGACAAAACAATATGTAAATATCATTATTTAGCTGTGCCGCGTCATCGAACCAATTTGTTCTGGCGCGCCATTGCATATTGGTTGTGGAACATAGATGTTATAGAGCTGCATTTTAAAATTTACAATATAAATTATTTTACTTTATCTCGTATGTTTTCACCAACCAAAAAAAGTGAAAGCTTTAAGAAGGGATGTTTTCTTAAGATTTTCGTAGCAGAAAAAATGTATGTATGTGATATGTAATTACTCAAATTAAGGAATAATATAGACAAAGTGTATAGAATTAAACATGGAACCAAATGATGTTTTAAAACAATATACAAATATTAATAGATACTACGATACGATACTCACATCTACTCGAATATTTGACATTTTAAATAAAACTATCTTTTAGGATTTTTTCGCGGATTTATTTTGATTTTTGGTTTCCGACGTTTCGAATGTACCAAGGTACCCTAGAAGTTGTTTCTTTTATAAAGAGTAAATCCAAACGCTTCATCTACGAGATATTTTATTTATAACCATCAAAACAGCAATTTATGAAGTTGTAAAAATAAGTATGTACGAATATTTGACAGTAGTATTAATATTTTTAACATAAAGAGTAATAAAAATAGTAGGTAAGCGTCTATCTATTTCAAAAATGTAGATAATGAAAAAATCATAAGTACATATTATAATAATAACTCAGTCGTTTTTGACGTCCCACAGTTGCACGGGCTTCCTTTCAATGAGAATTCAATGGGAATTCGGTCATAACCCACCACACTGGCCACGGGCGAGTTTGACGAAATCATAAAGCCATCGAAAAGTAATGTTTTCTTATATATGCAGTTTGCCTTACGATTTTTTTCACCGATAACTGATAATCATGTTAGAAATCATTCGTATATTAAAATATTAGAGGTATGAAACGCGGGGACTATTCCACTTCACTTGGGTTTCCAAGTGAACTATCATTACTGGGTTATCACTTATACACTGGGTTAGCCTTAAAACTTAAAACATTGATGATTTAATAAAAAATGAAGTTTGCATATTACAAAAAATAAAATACTAAATATTACAAAAAAATAATATAAAAATATTTAAGTGCACTAAATAAAACACATAAATACGACTCTATGCTTCTCTGTGATCGATCTGCATTTTGAAATTGGAACGCTAGTCATAGACAATAATGATGGTATCATGGCCGTTTAGCATAGAACAACGTTTGGCAATCATAGAATGTAATGGAGACATTGTGATTAAATCGCTGGACTTATTATAAATAATTATATTATTTTAATTACAAAAATATATGAACACTTTTTTAGGGTTCCGTACCCGAAGGGTGCCAACGGAACCCTATTACTAAGCCTCAGCTGTCCGTCCGTCCGTCTCATTAGAGACTGTATCTCATGACCCCCATTAGGTAGAAAGTTGAAATTTTCACAGAGTATGTATGTATTTCTATTGCCGCTAGAACAATAAATAATAAAAATACATAAAAATAAAAATACAAGGAATAATTTTTTAACGTTAAGTACATTTACGATGGTACGGAGCCTTTCGTGTGTGAATTGAACTCGCA